ATTCCAGGCATTAACTGGTTATCCCTCGCATATGTCTGAACCTGTTTAAATTTGTTATTGTACTTGCATCTGTACTAATAAATTTATTTAGAGAGATTTTCTTCTCTTTCACTTTCAAAATATACTAATATTATTTCCACTCATTTTTTATCACTAAAGGAAAATCCAGCTGATTTCTGCGCATTAAAGCTGGCGTCATTACCTTTCTTGTTCATATGTATAGACGCATCTGTATTGTCAAATCGGTGTATCCAGTTTAAGAGATAAATTACATTGCTAGTTAATATAGCGCATGTAATCCAATTTTGCTTCATATAAAAGGATTAATTTCTTGATACATTTTACAAACGATTCATTGTTTGTTATATTCGTTTCTAGTTTGCATAGGAAAAGATCCTTGTCATTCTTCGTACAACAACAAGCAGCATTCTCAGTAGCAAACGATTTAAAATAACGGAATTCTTGAGGAAGCAAATTGTAAAGTTTATGTTGCAAAGACCAGTTTTACTTTGCTTCCCCCCCTGATTTCAGTTTCCTGCCGAAATGTGAATTTGTAATGATGTAGATGCTAATCTAAACGTGTTTCAGAAGCAGTATTTAAGCTGCGTTTCAAGAGTTCATAAAGAGTAGTAGTGGACTTAGTTCCGAGTTTAGGCTGCGTGTTTGAATTTAGCTCTCTAGCCGGTGTTAGACACCTTTCAGTTTATACTGATATTTTCTATTTTTAATTTGAAAATATAACGCTGATTTTTGTTGTTTGACTTCTGAATTAGTATCTAAAAAAGGGTTTGAGTTCCGAAAATTATTTCTTCCTTTCCAAATATTTTTTTCTGTAGCAGCAAATAGTTGAAATTTTTTTGTGCTTAAATTGTTGCTCCAATTTTTTGCAATGTCTAAAGGAAAAATGAAAGAGTAATTCTTAAGTGAATCGTATAGCAGTGAAGAAGAAAACTGCTGCGAAGCTTACAAAAATTTGAATAGTAGCGATGAGGAATAGTCAAGATTTTTCAGAAAGATAATTATAAATAGAATTGCATCTTCAAATTCTGATTCGAATACTGATAAATGCGGTGATAATAAGATACTACTGATCATATTTTACACGAATTGGTTGTTTAGTAAGAAAGAAAGTTGATAGCGGAGAAAGCCCAATTCAGTTTAGCCAAGGGAATGAATTTAGCTGCTGGCAACAACCATTTTCGTTTCTTTCTTTCAACAATCAGCAATATATATAATTGAAATACCTACTTTGCCTCATAAGTACTCAAAGAACTGCCACCCGAATACATATGAAGCGGTCTGATAAGATTTTTGCCGTCACTCGAAAGAAATCCTACATCTTTAGCGCCAAATTAAAGCACGGGTGATAAATTACACCACCCTGTAAAAGGATAAAATTAATGATACAGAAATGATTAACTACTGTTTTCTTACAAATACTACTGTTATAAGAATAATTTTGCCGTTGTTGTGAGAAGTGCAAAAGAAACCCTTGATTTATTTATTACGTAATATATTTTAGTTTTGAGAATAAACATTTTGATGGTTGCCTTAATACCGTCTTTTTCTGAAAATAAGACACTGTCTTACTACTTTTTTGGTCCAGAATACGCGCTAGGGCTTATTTTCGGGGGAGGGCAAAAATAAAAGCATATTTATATATTTTTATTTAATATTTATTTTACACAGAATACAGAAATTTAAATTTATTCAATTACAGTCATGTCATCTTCTTCTGGAACATCGTCTATCGATGCTTATTTATGTTCTCAGAAATGATTTTAGGTATTTGTTATGCTAGTGCTCACTTCAATTATTTTTTCTTCCGACTGCCAGCTGCCGAGCGGTAAATTCCCTGAACACTGGTAGTTCCGACACGGATTCGATTCCAGGTAAATGGACTGGCTAGATGGGCGTTTTCGTGGCTTTTCCCCCATGTGCTACCTCGATACGAGAAAGTTTTTCTTAGAAAGTCCTCCAAAGCATCCGTCCCCTTAGCCTAGATAGCCCTAGTGTGCTTTGCTGTTATCAACTGCACCGCTCTTTTTGCCAACTTATTTCAACACTTTGACGAATTTTTATGACCAACATTTAACTGACATTATTTTCCATAATTATTTTATTTCTGCTTCTGAATAACCAACAGAAAGTGTTACTGAATGAGAAGGACGTCTCAGAAGTTTAGTTTTTTATTTTTAAAGTTGGGGCAACTGATTAACCCAAGATCACCATAAACTCGTTAGAAACTAATTCATTAAAATTTGAGAAATAATGCTACGAAGGAAAAACAAAACTGAATATGTACTTTTGTATGAATATTTTAATGTTTACATTTACATTTTTTGTTCTTCATTTTTCCATTTTTTAGCATTATTTACAGTGTACCTTTAAAAATAGATGAAAGCCATCCAATCGGAATAGTGGTTATCGACGCTGACTGCCGTAGCGAAGGCTCGGGTTCGAATCCCGGAGAAGGTATGGATGTTTGTAAATGTATAGTATCCGTGCGGCATGGGGTGCACTCTAAATATGCGGCGAGCTGAAAGTCTTCTCGAGATTTTTTGGTAGGGAAAGAGGGGCGGGAGGCCTTCGCACCCATCCCCCAGGGTACTGTACATCAAAATTGGGGGCAGATCTAAGCGAAGTCGCACTGCCACCTGTATGTTGTTCAAGGCTCTTGCCAACAACAGCCCCAGTCTTGCATTCTTGCCACGAAGAATTTCGTGGGCTTGTTCTGATGTTACTGGCAGACAAGTGAGATAAGTCACAACAACAACAAAAGTAGAAGAATACGCTTAAGAAAGAAAATTTTGAAATCAAAGTTAATTCGAATTGGGTCTAAATCGCAACGAAGGCGTAAAAAAAGCTCCATTAATAATTACTAAACAAAGGAAATTTCACATTAAAAAAGTTCACTTAATGATGGCTGTTCTCATTTATTTAAAAGTTATTTTTAATGTAATGTTTCCATTGGCTATTATTATTGCTTACAAGTTTTATCCGATAATGTATTCAAGTTATTAGTATTTCTTGCGTCAGGGGTCGTAAATTACCTTTTTATTTGGTTAATGAAGAACATTTATTTTAAGTTTGTTTTTAAGGAAATTAATTTCTTTTAACATTTTTAAAATTTAAAAATATCAGCAACTTGTAATTAAAACGCAGAATAATTAAGTTTATTAAATTTACGTAGCAGGCTCACATTCTGGAGAAATTAAGAGTTAGTACCGTATTTACTCGCGTAATAGTCGCACCCCCGTTTTGAAGCAGAAAAAATTGTCAAAAGTGTGCAATATTGTGTCATGGATTTCCCCAGCATAATATTCACAATAAAAAATTTGCAAAAAAATGTGCGACTATTACGCGAGTAAATACAGTATAAATAAAAAGTTTGTCAAGGGAAATTAATTCTGAATGTTAAGTTGGGAATAAGAGACAAAATATAAATGCAAACAGCAGAAAAATATTCTATATAAAATTCTCGTATATAAATTCTCGTATGGGGGAATTGCACATAGCTTAAGACATAGTTTCAATCTACGCAAAAAAAAAAAAAAAAAAAAAAAAAAAAAAAAAAAAGGGGGCATGCTATTTAAAATAAAGACTAGTTTTGAGTAAAAAAACACATGCTAATCAGTAATGTATGCATAAAAATTTATTATATATCTTAAGTCATCACTCTGAGACATGAAAAAATTCAATTTAAAGTTTTTCGGTTGGTCATTAGAGTCGGAGATATTCAATTAATAATACGTAGTACTTTCAATCGTACAATGTATTCTTACTTGTATTATTTGTATTATTATTTTAAAGTATCTTACATTAACCTATGTGTAGTACATAAATATTAACTTTGCATTACATATACACAAATTAAAAGTTATGCATAACAGAAAGGTGCATTATTACAGAAATGCCACAACAAAGAACCTTCTCACCTAGGAGACCTCTGGCTTGGAAAAGAAATGTTTAACGTTTTTACTCCAGGTACTGTAGTTAGGGGGTTAACAACAGTTATCTGCGTTTGCAATCTCAGTAGCATAAAACTGGTATTTAAAATCATTTGTTACCGTTTTCATTAAATCTCATTTCAGAATATATAATAATATAGCAGGGGCCCTCGGCAGTAGCCGAGTGGTTAAGACCTCTGAAAACTGGTAGTTCAGTCTGGCTTCAAGCCCAGGCAAACGGGCTGGTTGCATGGTTCGTTTTCGTGGTTTTCTCCATGTGTAATGCGACTGCTTATCAGTTTCTGTTAGAAAGTCCTCCACCGAGGCCTCCCTTCCCTTAGGCACATAGTCCGTTTGTATTTTGTCATATCCTAATAACCAACCATTCAATAATTTAGCAGATTCGTCTTCAGGTAAGTGATGAGTCTTCTATGAAAACTAACTCTGACCAAATTATTGACAAAATTATTATATTATAATTGCGTAATACATAATAAATAGCAAACACCCGTATACTCATATTTTTTTGTTTAAACATAATTATAACTCTATAAATATTGATATGAAAATGCGTATTTTTACTTAAATGCAGATATATAATTTGCATTTCCCAGTTAACGCAAATTGCTTGGATGCCTTACTGTTACTATGTTTATTATATGACTTTTGGAAGTGATATTTTTTAGATAAAACATTTTGTATTAGGAAATTATATTTAATTCTAGCATTTAAATTTATGTGCATTTATGAATTTGCAGTTACAAGACTATTCTGAGGAAATTTTTCTCTCCATCTTAAGTACTTTCAGGATAATAATCCTGAAAGCAGTTAAAGTAATATTTATTATTTAATCTAAAATATACCGATATTTATTACATGTTTGATATAAAATTTGTTTAATTTTTTTCCCATTAAATATAATAAAATCCCTTAAAATTACAAAAAGCTGAAATAAAAGCAAGCATTTTAAGACAAGCGAAAAATGCAAATAATATTTTATTTCTTTAGAACATGCGTAGATCTGTTGCGTAGTTTTATCAATGCAAAACAAATAATCTCAGAGAAGAGGAAATTACGAAGAATTATGTTGGAATTTTTAAAAAGGATTATGGCCTTATATTTGGTTAGTGTTCATCATTTGTTTATATTTTAAATTCATGCTTAAATATATTTACCCTAAATAGTAGTGTTCACATAAACTAAAATTAACGCAAAGAAATTAAGTTGCTTAATCAGTAATTTAGAATGATCTGTACCTATTTGCCTAGCAACTTTCTATCAGCAAAAATTTTAGCTGATGGATAGGGTGATGTTAAGGTACACATTTCTCTGATTATTTGAATATTCTGTTTTAAATGTTATAAGTTGGTTCTATTTCCTTAGCGTATCGGTTGTAATACGTAGCACTGTTTCCTGCTAGAATGCTAAGAAATTAAAATATATGAGTATTATCAAGTGAAACTTAAAAAGTACTTTGCACACATGGCTTTATTTGTACGTAAAAGATCGATTACAATACAAAAAATCTGTAATATTTCGTACTGCATAAGTGCTGTTTATAGTAGACGTAGACATTTATGAAGTCAAAAATCTGGTTTGTTTACAATATCAAAATGTTTGTGTATTGAAGTACATTAACATTTGTTAAAATTTATGCATTTAGTGACTTCATTGCTACATACACCTTTCTGAGTTTATGGATAGAACGTATGAATCCAGCAACGTTTTAGAATCAAAAACAAAGCTGCTAACATTGTTGCATTTATATTAAATGAAAACCTAGCGAAGAAGGTTACTAAAAGTTAGGATTGCTTAGTAAGAATAGTTACTTCAGAAGTCAAACAACAAAAATCAACGTTATATTTAGAAAATTTTTCACAGGACTAGTTTCGATGGTTTTACCGAACCACCATCCTCAACTGCAAAAAAAAAAAAAAAAAAAAAAAATAGTTATTTGGATTTATCCTTTTTTGTTAATACAGAGTGATATAGTATACAGCTATGAAAAATACTGACTTCTGTTAGATTTCGAATTTGCGAAATGTTTTCGACATTTTTGCGATTTGATTTAAAGTGCATATTTAAGGATATTGATAATTTTCAAATATTCGATTCGTACGAAAGAGTAAGAAGTAAATATGGGATTCATTAGTGTACAATACGCCTTTTGTATCAACAAATAACAAATATCAAATATATATATATATATTTATTCGTTGAGAACGTTTACTTAACGTTAAGTCTTTTTTTAAATAGAACGCACATAAGGGTACAAACTTATTTCAAAACAATCCTTAACCCATATTGGTTAATCCTAGTATCCGGTGCACACGGAATTTGGCTACTTTTGGCGACTTTATGATAAGCAGCAAAAAATGGGACATATACGATGAGTAGCAAACCGGTCATTCAAAGAATATATATAGTTATACATAGTATATACTATGTACACACATAAGTATATAGTGTATAGTATATTGATGTTCTTTGGATCATTTTTGGTGTTGACGATAATTTTCAAAATCGCGCCAAGGCTGCATCGTATACTAGGATTTTACCCAAATATTTAATTTTTTGATAGGTATTACATTTTGAGAGATAGTTTGAAAAATGTCTAGAAGTTTTCGTAAAAACGGATATGCCGTCATTCAGACAAGGGTGTTAAGATGAGATAATGTAAAACCTTCACGTTAAAAAATTTGAAAATATATATACACAAAGAACATGCTTTGGTCTTTCAAATACAAGCTTTAATAAGGAATTAAAAAATGTTATGATGTGAATTAGTGTGCGGATATACTTAGCGAATCTTACTTTTTTCTTTTCAGAATATCTGGAATATGGTACAAGCCTTCAGCGTTGCTTCGTCCATATCTTTTAAAGCTTTAATTTTGGGTATTCTAGATGCTACAAGCTTCGTAATATCTTTTTGTACAGTGATAGCTTTATTGTATTCAGAGCTCATTAAAGATCTTTTGAAAACTATGTTATACGCAGCTATTACGATCAGCAACCGAATCACCTGGACGTTAAATATCCTGAGAATATCCTGTAAACAAGAGGAAGAGTTTGTTCAGGTAGAGCCGGTTAGTTGTGAAACATTTAAACATTTATATGAATCTAATTGCAGTGCTTCTAACTTACATGAAGACTGCGAAACCCCACAAAGCCCACCGGCTGTAATAAAAACAGCTTCAACACTAAATATATCGCAAGAAATTTGTAAACAAGAGAAAAAATTTGTTCAGCTGAAGCCAGCCAGTTATAAAACTTTTAATGATGGTTTATATGAATCTAATTGCAGTGCTACTAGTTTACATGAAAACTGCAAAATCCCACAAAGCTCTCCTGCTGTAATGAAAATGATTTCAACTGAAATAAATAACAGAATATGTCCATCATTTTCAGAGACACCACCAAGCCCATCTTGCGTAGTAGATATTAGGCGAAATGAAGTTTATTTTAGTACCAGTGGTTCAAACTTGTATAGCAGTGATGAAAATTTGCTATGTGAGGAAAAGTCTTCTTTCGATAAAAAATTGTATAGTTTAAGAAGAGCTGGAAGCAGCAAAATTAAAAAAAGTGTTAAAAGACTGAAAGAAATTAACTCTAGGTTAGAAAAAGTAGAGCAAGAAAGGAAGCAGATATTTTCAGAAAACTTGGATTACTTCAAAATATTTACACCTAAAAATTCAAGCAGTCCAGAGGAGAAAAGTTGCTGCTTTGGTTTTCTTTCCAAATTAAGGATCAAGCAGAGAAACCATACATTAAGTTCTGATCTTTATAAAACCTTTTAATGATGCCACGCTTTATGTTAATTTCTGCTTAATGCTTTATATTAGAGCTGCAAGAAAGTCATTTAATTAGGATAAGAGAGCAAGAAAGAATGAAGATATTTTCAGAAAACTCTGATTACTTCGAAATTAAAGCAGTCCAGAGCAGAAAATTGGCTGCTTTGGTTTTCATCCCAAATTAAGGATCAAGCAGAGAAACTATACATTAAGTTCAGATCTTTATAAAAACTTTTCAAATTATGTTATGCTTTATATTAGTTTCTGCTTAATGCTTTATATTAGAGCTGCAAGTCATTTAATTAGATTTTTAATTGTATTTATAATTTTTAATGTTCCCAATTTGCGGAAATACCTTCTATTAAACTTGGAGTGTTAACTACTCCCAATAATTCTGCTTTTAGTATTCGCTATTTTAGCAAAACATCGGCAAGTTTAGAAAAATTTTAATTATATGTATTAAAATGCCGTTTATAAAAAATTATAAAACAAATTATGTCTTCTACAATTTATTCTTGAATTTTTAAAACGGGCTAGATTGCAAGTTAATATTTAAAATAAAAATTAGTATTTTAACATAGCTGCATGTAAAAACGGCTTTTATGGTAACTTAGTATATGTTAAAATGGAAACTTTGACATACCATATTTACTGCTTTATCCCTGCCCACATTTTCATCTCTGCGAATGGGCAGATATATGAGCCTTTTCGCGATTTTACCCATGCATAACGTGAAAATGAGAAAGTTTCCCAAAGAAAGGCCTCTTCCCTTACCGTATCATTTTTTGGTCTTAATCTCCCTGCCCCAGTTCTTCAGCCTCAGCAGTGGCCGAATGGCTTAGACCCCTGAATACTGGTAGCTCGACCTGGCTTGGGTTCGATTCCAAACAAACCGGCTGGCTGCATGGTTGGGTTTCGTGGTTTTCCTCATGTTTGACGTGAATACGAGTAAGTTTTCTTCAGGAAATATTCCACGAACGCATTCCTCCTCTTAAGCAGGTAGCCCTCGTGACTTTGCCATATTAAAATAATCTAGTATAACCCTCTTCAGCCCAAGATTTGGAAACTTCTGCTTTATGGTAGCAACGTATAAAGTATGGATGGATAGCAAAATATGTATTGAAACATAAAAGTATTATTGAAAGTGATCGATTGACCTCTTTGAGATACAGTAATATTAGTGTATCTATTCATACGCACTTTTAAGCCCTTAATTCAGAAATGGTGTATCAAATGTAATTTTCATTTTCTATTTTCAAGAGTTAAAAGAAAAATCAAGGCTTACATGAGTAAATAATGTAATTTACACAGAACTATACTATTATTTCGGAATGTGCACTAGAAAGATTGCTATGGTTGTTAATTTTTTATTTACAAAATGCCTATTAATCAACTTTTATTAGTCACGTTCAGGAAATTGGCCTTTTTTTTTTTTTTTTTTTTTTTTTTTTTTTTTTTTTTTTTTTTTGTTAAAGCTTAAGGTGCTCGATTTCATCCATTACTATTAATATTACTGTAATGAGTAATTTGATGCTTAATTAAGGGGTTAAAAGGGCGTATGAATAGATACACTAATATTACTGTAACTCAAAGAGGTCAATCATAGTGAATCGATCAAAGTTGTATAAGTAATATGATGTGATTCTTGATGCATTTGATGCTTTAAAACTATTCTTACTAATATTACAATTTTTTATATTGAATTTTATATGGCATTTTGGAAAATATTAACTAAAAGTATTGCACGCTAAGGTGTAGAAGAAAACTTCGCGCGAGAAAAGTCGATCATAGTTTAGCTTGAGCCGAGTGCTCAAGGCCATGTACCCTGTTGATTCAAAAAGTGTCTTTGATTAAAAAAAAAGCTTTGATTTTTGAACGCGTATGACACAAGAGGCTACTGTGTAAACTCAAGGATGCCAATTTTCCCAGGGATATTTGGTCAGCCTTTTTTCTGTCTCAACAGAAAATATCACCCTTAAACAAACGAATATCCTTTGATTAATCAATAATATTTCTGCAGGAATATCTCTAAGTTTCAACCCTGGGTTCTGATATTGTACCTAATTTATATTTACATTTTCCCATACATTAGAGATGGCTTAACTGTATGCACGCTTGCTATGCTGGCGATACACGATTTTGGCACTATCATTGCAATCGAAATAAGCCATCTCTAGGCTCCATACTAAAATGCGGAATGCTGAATGATGAAGAAAGAATCTTGACCTATGAAGAAAGAATCTTGACCATTTAGGTGTGTCTCTGAATAGCTCTTTTACCTGGAATATGCAAACTCAGAGACCCGCAAGAGAAATTTATGCTGTAGCCTTCAAATGAAGATCCATTACTGACAAAATTTCCTTTCTGGGTCTTCTCAGCAAGAAACGCAGCAGATATTCTAAGCAGATATTTCAATATCTCAGAGTAACAACATACGTCTACGTAGTGTAGGCTACAGCTGAAAGAAACTGCAAAATATTTCAAAACATATTCCTTCGATGGATCACAAATACTCGCTATTTTATTAGGAGTAAGGCTTTATATAAAGATTTTAAACTTAGCGTTACATGTTTACATTATTCGCATTTAATTCAAACTTCTATAATGAAACGCGTAATTGCTTTATTGTCAACTATGCCGATAACTTTAATTATGTTATTCTTAGAGAGGACACCTTTCTAAGATCGTATGCATACCACCTCAGGGCGATTGATTTTATACCAACCTAACCTCTTCTTCGCATACGAACTGCGCCAACTGAGTTTTTATTTACTGTTTGTGATCTTCGGTAGCATTTAAGATATACGTGGAAAAGTGCCTATTGGTTTCATCTTTCATTTCTTGTAAGCGTCCCGTATCTGGGATTCAGATGGAATTTGAAGCTCTACAAAGTCAGGTTTTCATATGCAATTTCCAGAATGGTTACGTAGTGGAAAGTCGGCTGTATACATGGGTGACACAGTGGGAAATTCTGTTGTATGCATGGAATTTCCATATTGAAGTAATGAACATTCTTGATGCCGATGAACTCTTGTTTTTCGACAAGCATTCAACCCACATGTAATATGAATAAGAGCCAATTTCCATTAAAAAAGTTCTTCATGAAGGGATTCCTCCCTTGGTACAGTGCCACGCGAGCTTTGCATTTTAATTAGATCAATCAACCGACTCCGTTTCAAATCAAACCACCGGCTTGTTTGGGATGTAGTTTTCGTCATATAATTTACATCGTTTCTCCATGTGCAACGTGAATATGAGCTAGTTTCCCTTCTAAAGACCTCCAGAAAAACATTTACCTCTTGTATGTGTTATTTCGGTACTTGCGGGAAATCCGATCAACCATTATTCCAATTAAAGAAAAGACGCCAAACTACGGGATTTTTCACCAAAAATGGAAAAGTCTTCTTCAAGCACGCTGGTTTGGTGTAATCTTGATACACGTGTTAGTTATTATTCTTGAGTAAAGGCTCCTTTCCCCCCCTCTATCACGCATTTTCGGGAGGGAAAAAAAATTAAAATTTGGGATCTGCCTACTACAGAAGAGTATGCTGTTGAATATTTTCAAAGGGTACTTTTCCGTTTCGCCGGCGTAAATCTCGCCAAACAGACTTTATTGGCGACAACATACAATATACACAAATAAAAAATGTTAACGAATGCTAGCACTAAAAATTTTTTATTTTCAAGGCATAAACATTTTAATATGGTTTAAAATTTTGTAAAAAGCCAATAAATAAAGACAATAAATTTGTAAAAAGACGTTAATTTAAGAATTTACTATGCTTTCGTGGTTCAACATTCTGATTCGCCGGTTCATATTACTTGACCCGAGTGATCTCATCTCACCTAAACTACATTACAAAAATCTAATTCTCTCAGTAATTATCTACATTAATTTTAAGTTAAATCTTCATTTGGAATATAAGTTTAAATGCAAGAATTATTTCAATTCGTACGAATAGCTTACTCAGAAGTTATATAAAACCGTAGTGCTTTACTTCGCTAGTGCATTCTCATTAGAATTGATGAATTTAACCCTTGACTTTGCCTTTTCTATATTTTCACCTTCGGATACAGTGAATGACCTTAGGGCATGAAATTGAACTATCTAGTAAAAATTCTACGTAATTGTATGCTAGTATTGAAAGAAACAATCAATCTGATAAGAAATGGCTTCGACTTGTTTTGAAAATTGAGGCGTAAAAGGTTACCGGCGAGTATATTAAGTTTGTCATCGGTTGTACCATTTTTGGCGAATTTATCGCCTGCGCCGGCAAAATGGAAAAGTACCTTTCAAAGTTATGGAATCTTATCGACCTTAAAATAAAATGTGTTAATGGCCACGAAATGGCTCTTTGTTTAAAAACTGAGAAAGCAATAATAAGTAGAAAATGTGTATCCTCAAAATACAGCCACGTAGGTGTAAGGATTATCCATCAGGCATAAAATCAGAGTAGAGAAAATGTTACGTTTTTAAAATTGCTAGCTGCAATTCTTGCAATGGTCTGTCATTGTGAGTTTTGAAACTCTAACATAAACTGTAATTACAGTAAGACCCCGCTTAACGCGGGGGATACGTTCCATCAAAGTAGAGCGTAATGCGAAACAGCGCTAAACGAAGCTATCTTTACATGTAAATATTGGGGTTAGGGGAAGATGGCTAGGAAATTGGTTAGGTATTAATTTAAAAAGTATGATTTTTAATAAAAATAAAACCAAACATTTATTTCTTAAAGCCCAAATTAATGCCACATTATTATTTCTTGCAAAAATAAAAACAAAATATAAATAACAAAACGAATATTCTTAAAAAAAAACAAATAAAATTCTAAGTCAGTCATATTTAGTTAGCCTTCCGCGTTTTCAGTGTTCTGCCTTTTTGTGACAAAAGCATCTAATGTTGTTTGCCTTTTTCTTTTGCGTTGTTCTCTTAAAAGCTCTTCATAAACGGATAGAGCATCTCTAACACACCACGCCTTACTTTTGAGCTCCTGTCAAAATTCGGATCATTTTCAATGAATTGATCCATTATTTTCAGTTATGGTAGACAAAACTCCTTTTTACAAACGCCATCGAAAGTTCTTTTTGCTTTTTCTTCTGAATCACTGCTGTCAACATTTTGTTTTCTTCTTGTTCAGTTAATTCCTTGAGCTCATTATTAGAAAGACTAGCCGCTGCTTCTTGAATTGAACGTTTCCAATAATAAAAATATGTCTGTACAATACCGCACCAAACAAGAAATACAAGTACACTCTTTCGGATATGTATTTGAAACCTATCGCTGCATAATATTTTGGGGAATCCCCGTATGCTGCGAGCGATTTCGTGGAATCCCCGGGTTGAAATAAAAGAGCGCTAAACGAAACAGCGTTAAGCGGGGTCTTACTGTATTTTGACTGCCCTTTTGGCATAGCCATGCATTCGGGCTCGAATTCCG